AAAGCAACGGAACATGGAAGCAGTATTCCGGTCGGATATTTTTCGGATTTTTTTCCGGTGGATTCCAGCCAATTCCTGTTCTTTCCGGCAGGAACCCGCCGGAAAAAGTCCGAAAAATTTCCGGCCGGAATACTGCTTCCATGTTCCGTTGACTTCCGGTGTTTTCCTGCAGGAACCGGCGATCTTTCCACGTCTTTCCTGCGGGTTCCTGCAGTATCCGGTGACCGGAACGATCGACTTGGGCAATGAAGTATGGTTATTTTCTTGATATGTAACTTATGATAACATGTGCGTCTTATAGACGAGTAATATAACTACTGCACCTGTGCATCGTGCACCATTACAAAAACAAATTGGGGATAACGTTGTTACATTGTTGATCAGTAAAAATACATATTCAAACAAACAAGTCAACAGACGTTGTACCACGATAAAGTAAAGTAAATGTATACCTTTTTAATAATTTCATTTTATATTTAAAACTGAAATAATTCAAAGAGAATAAATATGATCTGCATATATTTGAGAGCGATTGAATATTGAAATGAGAGTAGTAATAGTAGTAGTAGTAGTTCCATTTTTACAGCAAACTGGATTATTATTGCATTACCGTTATCATTAAACTTTAATTTATAACGTTTTTCAGTTTCACATTTCCGACTGTTTACTTGTTGTATCCATTTTTCTTAAAAAAATAGCACTGATGTACATCTTTATAGCACAACTTGTCAATTTGAGATAAAGAATAATGATACAACGATATAGATTATATGTCGATGATAAATAGAAAAACTTCATTTTTATGCATAGAAAGTGAACCAAAAACAATCACTAGTTTGGATTAGGTCTGCGTAATGAAATTCATTTCGAGGTAGAAAATATATAGGAATAATATCACTATTTTTGAGATTGGGTTTAGTCAAGAAATACATTATTATTAGAAAATTATTGAAAATAAAAATGAATTTCCTCAACTAACCCCAAGCTTGACAATAGAGATAACATTTCGGTATACTTTTTGTATTGAAATTAATGCACAGTGCTTATTTTTCAAAGCATTAAGTTGAAATTTTATGAAATTTTTCTTATAGTCATTGCATTTCAATTTTCTATACATGGAAATTTACTATCTTATGAAACATTGGGGACATATGAGACATACGAAAGATATGCTAGCATTTAATGGACTATTAAGATAATTGAATCTGTTTAGCAAAAGGTATATGCCAATTTGAACAATTGAAATTTCATGTATCTATTTTCGTTGACTTGTTCAAATAGTGATGCAGTTATCCTTTACTATAAAGGATGGAGTATCGTTAAGTGATGAAATATGTTCCTTCTTGAAATTGAAATTCATACTTTTTCAACAGTCAATTTGAACGTCATGAGTCAATTACTGTTCGAATCAGACCGTTAGACTACATAAAGGTTGCTCGTGACTGACTTAAAACTCGATATTATCTAGCTGCTATAGAATTTATATGTCAAACTTGAAACTTGAATTGAATTGAAGAATAGTTAAAACTTGAAAAAATTGAACTGCAGTTTCTCAATTTAAACTATTCTAACAGAGGGCGTCTCTAGGTGAGGGTATCACGAAAACACACACACAGGATATCCGTCTCGTTAAATTTCGAGACTTGAAAGTTGAAAGGCGAAGAGTAGTTGTTCAATTGAATTTAACTTTCAAGTTAGACACTACTGCCAAAAGTCACATGTTTGACCTCCAGATAGTCGTAAAATCATTACAGTTACTATGCTCAGGTAGCCCCTAGTATGTTACAAAAATGACGTTCAGGTGGTTCTAGAAAAGTTACAGATAATATCTTCAGGTAGCCCTTCAAAATTTACAAGTAGGATGTCCAGTTGGCTTCCAAAAAGTTGCCAGTACAATGTCGAGGTATTCCTCGAAACACTATACGCATCTAGGCTAGCTATCAGGGTTATAACAATCCAGTAGCATTGTTAGAAGTAGGGAAGAAAATGGGTAGATCATGATAAAGTACGGATTTCAATTTGATTGACTCATTTTTTTGTATATGAAATGAGCCACGTTTCTTTGACTCTCATTTTTGGTTCACTTTCTACGATCTTTGAAAATTGGGTATGAATTATGCGATACCGATAAGTGTTTACTTCATTCATACCCACACATTCTCTTAGAAATAGTATTACCCAAGCAGACAACCATTTTCAAAAACGCGTTTAAACGCATAAAAAAAAGGGCTTAAAATCCATAAAAAGTGGACTTGTTTGGCTCACAATCGCGGTTCCCGACTGTCAGCGAAAAACGACCACTTTTTGCCCGTTTTGTGCGTTTAAACGCGTTTTCAGCAAAAAAACGGTGATAAACGCGTGTAAACGCATAAGACGATCAGAAAAAAGTTGTCATCTTTTTCATGCTCATAAATCACAATCATAATTACAATCACAGTTCACGAAAAGGAAAAAGATAACTACTTTTTATGCTCTTTTTATGCGTTTATACGAGTTTACAAGCGTGTTTTTGCTGAAAACGCGTTTAAACACATAAAAAGGGCAAAAAGTGGTCGTTTTTCGCTGACAGTCGGGAACCGCGATTGTCAGCCAAACACGTCCACTTTTTATGGATTTTAAGCCCTTTTTTATGCGTTTAAACGCGTTTTTGAAAATGTTTATCTGCTTGGGTAGAAGACGTTTTTCAGACGAAAAAGTTACTTTCAAAAAAAAAAGAATGATAGTTCAACATCAATTTAATGGATTGAAGTTTTGCTTGTAATTCGAAACAAAATTCTGTTTTGTTTAACTCCATCACAAATAAAGCTGTGATGCTTTCTGCATATGCCATACCAACAACAGGGACAATGACATCAACAAATAAGAATCTAAAATAATTCAGTATGTTTTAGTGATAACAAAAGTAAAACACGAAAAATGTTTTATCAATCACGCAGAATTATGCTTTTGGATCAGATACAACAACTTTCATTTTTGCAACGCAGCATCTGTCCATCACGTGATAGAACAAAAGAAGAGAGATATAAGAGAGTGATATGTTATTTGTTTGTCACATTTCTAGATGAATTCGTCAACAAACGTCGTGAAGTTGGATTTTGCAGATAGTTCGATGAATCCAATCAACAAATCGATCAGCAACGATGACTCTTCTCACAATGTAATATCAACGACAGGTATAGCTAAGAAACTGTAGTCAATTATTATACCCACTCCTGGCGACGGCTTCTGTCATGATGTATTGCCAGAAGCTCAAAGAGAGACTAAGGTTATAACCAGATCATCTCACCAGTGTAGAGTACAAAATAGATAATAACTTTCGACTTGATAACAACTCCATTTTGCAACATGTCCTTTTCTCACCGAACTAATTGATTGAATTCATCAAAAATGATCTTGTGAATATGTTTGAAGAGAGACAGCGTACGAAATTATACTTAAAGTTTACTAAGACTCGTACTATGGCTCATCGATAAGTGGCGATATATCATCGACGATCGATATAGTAGTTTTATTCTATTGGTTGGTCTCATCACGTAGGACATTCTTTATTCAAGAGTGAGATAAATGTATGTTGAGAAGAATCATGCTACAATACATTGCTGATTTAACTATTGGCAGTATGAATAAAACACAAAAATTAAATCATTTCTTAGACGGATGGGCGTCGGCAGAAACTTTGGTCGTGTTTTTCGGCAGTTATTTATAAACCTCACGAATGGTCTGCCTTCAGCGATACTCTCATTACTAGCTAAAGTTGCAATGTTTCACAACACGATTTTTGACAGCTTTTTAGGAAAGAACGTTCTTTTTCTGTTTCTCTTTATTTCATTCTAGGATTGCAGAGCTATCATACTGCGGTGAAGCTATCAGAAACGACTAACCATTTGTAGTTTATGTTCGCTTTGTGATACGAACCTTCGACATTTGTGTTAGGAGTCTTTTGGTTTTTTTACTAAGCGATTTCAGAAAATCACAACATACCCTACAAACGTCGTTCTTTAGCCGTAATTTAAACTAATCGTTTCCAGTTGATCCTTCTAGAATATATTTAAAGTTGATTGCTCCATCTCTGATAGGTTTTATGATGTAGTCAGTGGGAAAAATGATTATCCTAATACTAATAATGAGCGTTCTCATGTCAATTTTTAACGTACATGCTTGAGAAAGCTCAGTCGTAAATGAAACAGGAACGAACGCAAAAGCTTCAGTTAATAGAAAACTGTGTTCAATTGAACCATATATTAACTGCGAAGTATTAGTGTTGCTTTTAATGTCTCTTTATCTTGAAACGTCAACGAGTGTTTGACTTCGATTTTGGAATATTACCGAGAAGTAAGAAGATAGTATGATTACCGTGTGAAAGTTTATCAATAGATGTAATACTTTTATACTCTTTCCTGTAGTGAAATTAAATTTCAGAGAAAAAAGATATCAAGCCTTTGTTGAGTTTCGAGAGATTCTCTAGAAAATAATTCGAGTTTCGAAATAATCAACTATCATCAGCATATCTAACATTTGAAGCCACTTGAGCACAACTATTTTCAATACTTTTCCTTTTGGTTATGTGCAGCATAATCATTAGTTAAACTTGAAGCATCTTCTTGTATTGGAAAATAGCAGAAGTACATTGTTATCTATGACTATGAAGTACTGGCTTAACAAATGTAACATATGTACTTCTCGGTTTCTACAAAATCCTATTGATCTGAGGTTAAACACATTCATTCGGTTGAGTAGCACAACACAAGAAAATTTCATTGTGTTTTTTTCTCGGACGATAGACAAATGAGAAACCAATGAATAACAAATAAACACATTTCAGTTATTAGATACGCTTGATCAGTATTTATTTTTATTCAGTCTCAGAAGAACCTAATTCAAGAGAAAATGATGAATCAATCGATGCTGCACAACAAGAAAACCAAAACGGTATTAAAACATTGTTGTTTCGGCCATTACGACAGCTTTATATTCACTGGACTAATCCTCTATTTCGTAAAATGTTATGGAATATTCTATTATTGGCATTGTCGTGGAGTCTCGGTCAAGGTATTTTTTTCATTCAAATAAGTATAACTACTCTAGCAACTACAAGTTTTACCAACTGGTATCTGGCAACAATTCCTATTGGTTCTATGCTCTTTGTTGCTACTATTTGGTCTGTATTTTTACCACGAGTTATTGCTCGTTACGGCTATCGACCTCCATTCTATTTCGGTGCTCTGATGGGTATGATTGGAGCTGGACTTTGTATTGTAGCAGCATGGTTTAAACTCTATTGGTTACTAGTAGTGAGTGCTACATTTATTGGTGGACAAGTACCATGTACATTCTACTATCGTCTGGCAGGATTACAATTTTCAACACAAGAATTTGCTTCAAAAGCCATTGCGATGGTCACTGCTGGCGGTTGTCTGTCCGCTTTTATTGGGTACGTTCATAAGTGTTATAATTATTATTTCATCAAACTCTTCTCTTTATTTTGAAAGAATAATACTGAAAACATAGATGCTAGATTACGATTATCTGCCGTCATCACTATTTTAAAATATGGTTGCTGATTTGAGAATATGAGATAGAAGTGCCACACAGTTTCTCTTCTATTCATAAATATTATTTTTTATGTTGTTGTAGGCCAGAAATAGCCAAACTTATGATCAATGTACTTCCAAAGCAATACAGTGGTGCTTATTTAGCAGCATTGGGTGAATGTGCGGCACTGTTATTCACCATGAGAACAATCCAATTTCCCAATGTTAAAAAAAGCACAATGCAATAGAATCGACCTCGTTACCTACAACCATGGACAGAAATCTTAGTTCAAGTGGCCGTTCAATCTTTACGATAGTTGGCCAACGAACATTTCTGATTGCTGCTCTTGGTGGTTTTGTTTCATGGTCAGCGATGGGTATTCAAATGTCGGCTGCAGCGCTGGCAATGATTGGTTCTGGACATACTTTTCCTCAAGTGATAACAGCTGTTGAGTACCATATATTAGGAATGTTTGTACCGCCATTTTTTACTGGAACTCTATGTAACTGGTTTGGAAGCCGACTGGTTATGCTCACTGGACTTTTGATCCAATTTGTGGGTACATTTCTGTTTCAATGTGGTTTTGAAATTATCTATTTTGATATGGGTTTGATTGTTGTTGGCATTGGATGGAATTTAGGCTATGTCGGATCATCAATTCTATTCACAAAATCATACTCCCCAGAAGAAAAAACAAAAACTCATTCGCTGTATGAAGCCATATTGATGTTTAGCATATCGATATCATTTTTCTCATCGGCATTTGCAGAACAATTTCTAGGATGGAAGACTTTAACTGGAATGTTAATTCGCATCTACCTGGCTGCAGCTGTGCTCATAGTGGTTGTAGATACGGCATTCGTATTTTATAAGACTAAAGATTTACGAATAGAAATAACAGATAACAACAAACAAGTAAAAACTCTAGAATTAAATATACAAGCTGGCTCAGAGTTACATGTTAGATAACATGTAAGAATTAGTTCATTTCATAACATTTTTCTACATTTGTATCTCATAACGAAATAGGATGGATATAGATATAGTAATTCATTATATCTCGATCCTCACCCGCATTCTGACTAAACAACGAGGAAAAAACAGCAAAGACTTCAGTCTTAAAGTCTCATGAAGTTTTGTGAAGTTTTTAAGCTATGGTTTTTAATATAATTATGTTGAAATATCATGAATAGAAGCGGCACTAGAGTTAGCACTTTTACTTTGTTTTAAAAGTTAATGTGAGATACTTTAATTCTTTAATATTAAAGAAAACAAAGTTAAAGTAGTTATCTGATGTAATAATGGAAAATTTATGCACTTGAAAATATCGCTATGTTCGAAAGATAATTTTTCCCTAACGAAATTTTCCGTTATTCAATAAAGTAACTTCTTAAACTTTGATTTTTTTAAAGTTAAAGTGTGTTAATTTAAGACATAATATCAAATCAATTATTTATTTTACTAAACAAACCTGTAAATCACGAATATTCCAAACATCATATCAGTTTTCACTTGTTAATATTTCACTTTTACAAAAATCTCGACAACTTTCAGTTACTAATTTAAAAATAAAATTAACATTTTATAATACGCACATTAATTACTCACTATTTGCATTGTTTCATACTTGTAGTGGAATGCGATAAAATGTTTGTTTTATAAGAGATTCATGATCAACTATTGTACGTCGAACATATTGCTTTATAAATGAAGAAAAATTTTTTATGTTTATCGATAGTCAAATAATTTATATGACAAGATAATGAAATAATATCTTTCATTTTTAATTTCAATTTATCAAGTAACAACAAAAAAAAAATAATAATAAAGCGACCTGATACTCTTCTCCAGCATACCACTCGACAAAACTCTTGTATATCATGTTAACAAAATTCATCTGGTTTGTTTCATCCAGAAAAAAAAAATTTTTTTTATGAATTGTTTAAAAAGAAACTAGAATATACTCCAATGAACGTGTCAATTTCTTTGTATTAATTGGTCGATCAGTAAATTGTAGATCATAAGAAATTTTTTGTAAGGCAAGTGGAACGCAATGTACTTGATCATCACTATCCGTTGACAGTGCATATACAGCCTAAATACAAACAAATTGTCAATATCAACTATAGTAATAATTTAACCTAGACAAATTTTTCGAGTTTAAATGAAACGCATCACTCTGAATTGAATGAACAATCTAAAACCGTTTAAGATGAAATTCAACAAACCCTTCGTAATTTTTTTAATAAAATAAATTATTTGTAAAAGTGAATTCATATCACAAGTTGCACCAATGTTTCTCAAACCAACAAAACCACATTATTCTTCTGAATCCCACTACAATTAAATATATCCAGATCTTTTTTACAAAAAAAAACAATTCTCAGCTTACTCTACATTACGTGGAACTTCAGCATGAATTTTTGCTTCGATTAGAATTATATTATGTCTTGCCCATGTATGAATGCATGATAGATTTCCTGATTTTCACAATATACATTTACTTTCCACAAAGTTTTTATTTGGATCAATAGTATGTAAAAGAGTTATATAGTTCAACTTTAGCAAATATAGACTAGCCAGGTGGAAGTTTTTCTGGTTTGTATTTAAAAAAAAACACTAAACTTTCCACCATCATTATGATAACAATCATAATTTGGTTTAAAAAATGCCAATAAAATCGATAGAAATCTACGAATTATTGATTGATCACGTGTTAATTGACCATATTGTGGCTGTGATGATGCAGTTATATGAAAACGAATTGAACCACCGTGACGAAGTACTATTTAGTAGAAAATAAGTTGAAATGAGATTTCTTTTTTGTTATTTCGTATGATTTCAGTTATTGTCATCTTTTCCATTATCAAAACTAACATGAACAATTGAATCATTAGAAAAATCTTCAGGTTCAACTTTGGTTGCTTCTTCACCATTTTTTTCTTTCTCTTCAGATCTTTCAGATTGAATCAAGCATGTCAAAGCTTTCATTTATTTAATATTTTGATTTATATGAGTTATTACGATGGAATAATTATAATAGAGGTGATTAGTACATGTGGAAGAGCAAAAAAAATGAGAGAGTTTCGATTCGAAATAGTGTTTTATTGTTCTATTCGATATAATGAAATATTTTTGATACTCATTCTTTGTAGAAACTCATATTTTCACATTATGTGTGTGTTTGAAGCCAATCATCGTATTTATTATTGAAAATAAAATTGGTTGCTGTGAATCACTTTCATATGATTGAACTAAGTTTCAGCATCGAAAAGGTGCTGAAGTGCTAGTCGTTCCAAATCTACACGTCTCCCTTTGATAATAGATACGATTGAGTAAATCTAACGAAAACTTCGTGTATGGATGGAACTGAACCTATTATCAATAAGAAAGTAATATTATCGAATATAATATTTGGAAAGTTATTGCGTATCGTTTTTTTAGACGATCAAAGGCGAATGGAAATAAAAACAGCATTAATTATAGTACAGCCAGATTTGCAATAATCTATAAAACAACTCAGTTGTCCATATTTAAGATTAGTAAAAATTAGTTGAATATCGTTATTTGAAGAAGATGAAACAGGTTGTTCCCCACGAATATCGGTACTAATATAAAAAGCGAATGTATGAAGTTATTAAAAATGAATAACAATGTAATTTTGAAGTTGAATACCATCGATATATCTAACTCGATTGTATATACACAAAAAAAATATATGGTTAATTCCTCAATATTACATATCCAATGAAGCAGAGGAACAGTTTGAGTATCATATGCATAACTTAAATGACTAATTTTCAATGAAAAATATTTCATATTGGGTAGATCATCATATTGAAAAATCAAAACAATACATGATGTACGTATAATCAATAAGGACAGAGGTGCATAAGAACAGGAATCAGCTTATGAACCGATTCACATAAGAAGTTTATTTTCGGATGCCAAATTTTACGGCGAATCTTTTGATGCCAAATTCAATATACAGTGGCGCTCAAAATTGTTCGTACACCTGACAAATGACCTTGTTTCTTTAATGTTTCAAGATGAGTTCAAGATATAGAAGTGCGGTTTGGAGTGTGTGGGTGGATGTTGGTGTGGAGATGGTCAAAAATAAGATCCGTCACGACACCGATACCTACACCCACACTCACACCCACCCTCAAAGCTATCTATCATAGTATGTTGAGAAAATGAATTTTATATGGGGTATGAATGTTGGTGCCAGTGAAAAGAACACCCAACTCAGACTAATACCCGATTCATTCTTTTTACAATTACTTTGATTGCAATTCATTAATCAAAAGAATATTTCAGTGTCGATATTGTTCTCTTTTGATACTTCATAACACAAAATCATATATTAATCGAACAAAGCTCAGATGAATATTTTTGATTTATCTAATAACATTTTCAGTATCTCAAAAATCACTTGTTTGGCTCACAATATCACTCTCTAAGAATTTGACATTCTGACAACAATAGCTGAACAATACTGATCTTACTGTTTTGAAGAAATCAATTTTTAGATAATATATCTTATGGTCTATTCATACTGTGAAAGAATGTAGCACTTTCACTTAATAATTTGTTATGCATAAAGTAAAAATGTAAGTTACTGTTTTATCATAGCTCATTTATGATGTTGCATACAAAATCTCACGAACTCCTGATGACGCTCATATTTTTAGTAAAGATGAAGATCTAACATGAACTATAAACTCTTTGATACAAGAGAGTACTTATTGAAATCATAGAACATATGCTAGACGGAGAAAGTGAGCAGCATAAAACAACAACTATTCGTTGGTATTCCATACAGCAAGTTGAGCTTCCATGCAGTTATAAATTAAATTCTTTTAAGCGTGATATTTCACATTTCTTTCATTTTTAGCCAGAGTTTGTTTGCGCCGGCGAGCACCATATTTCAGGTAATATATGACTTGATTTCAAATACTTCATCAGTATTTATTAAATTCATCGACAAATTATAGAGTTCAAGAATTTGGATCACTATCCATCCACATAGCAAGTTCGTTTTAATGGTAGCTCGTTAGTGTAATGTTGTATTTATATTGATGGATGAATATAGTAGAAAACATATCGAAAGGTTCATTAGTAATTGTTGACACAGGTTATATAATAATTAAGTACTCGTAAAAAAAGAAAAACGAGAATTACATTTTTTTGTATAATTTTTAGCAATAATTTCCGTCATGAATCTTGAAGGTGTGGATGTGGATGATGTTGCACATGGGTTTAAGAGATTAAGTGCTCTCTTACCGACAACCCAATGTGCAAAACAATAGACACTTATAAAAATTGACAGTTAAGAATAATAGGTACATATAAAATTGCCTTTTTTAGAAAAAAGTAAGCATACTATTAGCGTGTAACTATTATTTTTCAAATGAGCTATTTAGTGTTAAGAATAAGGTATCAAGAAAAAAAAATGAATGAAATTGAATTACGTAATGCAACATTAATCAAGGACTATTTCACAAAATTATCATTCTCTCTCTTACAAGAGCCAGAGAAATTTACTTCATAGTAGCCGTCTCAAAAATAGCTTCCAGCTCTTATTTAGTAGAAAGGACGGGGGACAGTTTGTACACAAATCGGCCCTAAATGGAAATCTCACCAGAAAACAGTTTGATCATGTGAGTTATGCTTCTCCCTTCAGCGCTAAACCGCTCTCGATGCGCATGAACGATTTTCATGAAGACCATATACTACATTCTACCCTATATAGCCTCGTAGTCCGTTTGAGGATAGAATTGAATCCTTGATAGTCCATTGTAGTGCTTATCAACCCGACGGTCGTTCGTGCAAAAAAGCGATATATATTCAGGGTAGATACAGCTTTCCAAGAGCTACAAAATGATGGCAAAATATGTAGAAAAATATGCTACGTGCGGTGTTTTTTTCAGGCCACACTGGTAAAATTGTATGAAGAATGCTCTGAT